TATTTTCTTTTTTAATAATACATGAAAGAAAAAGTGCTCCTGGTTGTTTCAATTTTTTATTTTTTTCCATGCTATTATTACATTTTATTTTTATTTTTTAGAGGAAAATTCATACTTGTAAACAGCTATATTAAAAATAAGAAAAATCTCAAATCAGTAATATAAACTTCTACCTTAAAAAATAGAAGAAAAGCAATCTACACCAAAGCAGATATAAGTAGGAAATAACAAAGATTTTGACAGAAATATATGAAATAGGGAAGTAAAAAACAATAGAGAGAATTAGCAAAACCAAAAGTTGATTCTTTAAAAAGATAAACAAAATTTTCAAACCTTTATCTAGACTAACCAAGAAAAAAAAGAGAGAAGACCAAAATTACTAAAATCAGAAATAAAGCAGGGGCATTATTACATTGTCATTATGGTTTTTTGTGATGGTAAGATTTAGTTCCTTTCCCGTTTGCATTTCTATTCTACCAGTGTGTTTTGTTCTTTCTTTTGTATTTATGGTAGTGATTATCAGTTTTCAGATTCCAGATGCAGGACTTCCTTGAAGATTTCTTGTAGGGCTGGTTGTGCGGTGGTGAACTCCACAAGTTTTTTTGGTCTGGAAAATACACTATTTCCCCCTCATTTTCTGAAGGATAGCGTTGTGGAGTATAGTATTTTTGGCTGGCAGTTTTTTTCTTTTACTATTTTGAGTATATCATCCCATTTTCTTCTGGCCTGTAGGATTTCTCTTAAGAAATCTGCTGTTAGTTTGATAGGGGCTCTGTTAAAGGTGACTTGATGCTTTTCTCTTGACTTTTTTAAGATTCTCTCTTTGTCTTTGAGCTTTTCAGTTTAACTATAATCTGCCTCAGAAAAGATCTTTTTGGATTGAATCAAATCTATTTGGGGATCTTTGGGCCTCTTAGATCTGAAAGTCCATGTCTCTCCCTATACCTGGAAAGTTTTCCATTATTATTTTGTTGAATAAATTTCTCATGCCTTTTCCTTTCTCTTCTCCTTCTGGAACACCCATGATTCCAACATTTGTGTGCTTAATGTTGTCTGCTAGCTCTCTTAGATTTCCTTCATTTTTAAAAATTCTTTTTTCCTTTTTTTTGTCTGCCTGGGTTATTTCAAAAAGACTGTCTTCAAGATCAGGAATTCTTTCTTCTGCTTGTTCTAGCTTGCTGCTTACGCTATCAGTTGTGTTTTTTATTTTGTTGAATGAATCTTTCAGTTCCATGAGCTCTGGTACATTTTTTTTAAGGTATTAATCTCTTTGTAAATTTCCTCCTGCATATCCTGGCTTTTTTTTTCTTCTCATTTCATTATGTTGTCTGAGTCTTCTCATATCTCAGTGAGTTTCCTTAAGATTGTTGTTGTGGTGGTGAGCCGCTTTTGTGAAAACTGTGGCTGTGTCAGTGTCTGTGGTGGTCCACCCATACAAAAGTGGTGTCTTCGGCATGCTCTCTTGCCTGCTTCTGGCAGAGGGGGCTGCCCTCAGCTCCTGCCTAGGATCCCAGGTATGTTGTCTTGCCTGCTTCCAAGTGGAGGGGGCTGCCCTTGGCTCCTGTCTCGGACCCTGGGTGTGCTCTCTTTCTTTTAAAACTATTTATTTTCTTCTTTGATCAATTTTCAATACTGTAGATGACTGGGAGCATCCTCAGGAAAATTTCCACAGAGAAATGTAGTTAATTGGAAAGTAAAACATATTTTATTTTTAGACTTCTTTCTGTAAAAATCTTATTTTTGTATACAGTCATGTACCGCATAACAATGTTTTGGTCAACTATGGACCATACATATGACCATGGTACCATAAGATTATAACGGAGCTGAAAAAATTCTTTATCTACATTTAGGTATATTTAGATATGCAAATACTTAGCATTGTGTTCTAGTTGCCTACAGTACAATAACATGTTGTGCCGGTTTGTGGCCTAGGAGCAATAGGCTTTACCATATAGCCTAAGTGTATAGTAGGCTACACCATCTAGGTTTCAGTTAGTATACTCTCTGATGTTTGTACAACAATGAAATCACCTAATGATATATTTCTCAAAATGTATTCCTGTCATTAAGGAATTCATAACTATAATTAATAAGAATTAATGAGAGTGGTACTTCTAACCATGAAATTCTAGAGCTAAATACGGTAATATTAGCAAAACTAGTGATTTTTCAATTATTTCATTTTATATATAAAGGATGTGCAAATATGCCATGTTTATCTTTAGTAAAAGTGCTTTTAACAAAGACAGTAAAACCATGTACTCTGAGTTGCATATTAACACCCTGGTTTAACTAGATGACAGATCACATTGTAATTCTGATATACAGAGCTAAAGAGAGTCATGATATCAGAGTCCTTCTGTGTTTGTATTATAACTGATAAGTGGCAATTTGCATTCGAATTGAAACTACCATAGTAAGTATATGATACTAAGAAAAGCTTTATTTGGTAATCTTTTGAAATAAACTAAACCAACTACCTAATTTGTGCACAGAGAAGTACCTCATGGAATTTCTAAATTCCCTGGAATTTCTTTTAGATTGTGATGCTTATAAATGAGAACCCTCTACTGGTGGAAGAGGCAGCCCTGAATAAATGTTATAAGGTGATGGATTTGATTTGTGATCTCATGGAATTTCTAAATTCCCTGGAATTTCTTTTAGATTGTGATGCTTATAAATGAGAATCCTCTACTGGTGGAAGAGGCAGCCCTGAATAAATGTTATAAGGTGATGGATTTGATTTGTGAGAAATGTATGAAGCAAAGAGACATGAATGAAGTATTGGCTATGAAAATGCATTACATCAGCTGTATCTTTCAGAAATGCATTAACTTCTTGAAAGATGGAGAGAATAAACTGGTCACCTTGATCAAGAGGTACTGTTTTTACCATGTCATGTATAAAGTGCACTCAAGTGAATGATAATTTATTATATGAAGGCTCATCATGGATTTAAAAATTAAACATTTTAGCTCCAATTGCTATTGTTGGGATCACATTTAGCCTGCAAGAAACACTTTGAGTGATTATTTAGTTCTCTCCTCTTTACAGTGGTATTTTTGTTGTTATCACTGATTTGTAGATGAGGTATCTGAGGTTTGGAGAGATTAAATAGGATGTGTAAGATCATATAGCTAGAAAGTGACCCGTATCAAAACTTGAGAATAAGTTCCTTATGCTGTAGGCTGCTGCTCTGGATTCATAATGATACTCAGTGTATCTCTGTTACCATACCTTGGAGAGCTAGCTAGGTGTTATTGTTATTCTCTGAACACCAGAGATCAAATCTTCTTGCAGCTTTACTGAGAGAAGGGAACTAGGTCAGAAGAGTATGACTTGATGAAAGTTTTTATCATCATTAGAAATAACTGACATAGTAATAAGTAACTAGGTAATTCAATAACAATGTTTAGTTTTTTTATGGTGGGGGTCACTTTGCATATACATCTCAGTACCCCACAACCTGATCAGGCCTAGTCTAACGTACAGGTTGAACAGCAATTTGAATTAAGTCCATCATCATTATTTGAAGAAACAATGAAAATCTTAAGTAACAAAGAAGAAACTACTAAAAGCTGTTGGGTTCAGCTAGGAGGGAATGCTTAGTGATTCAACTCCAATTACTCTTTAAAAAATATCTTTCAGCTTGTTAAAAGGCCGAGCTTCTGATGGCTTTCCAGTATATCAAGAAAAGATCATTAGAGAAAGTATCAGAAAATTTCCTTACTGTGAAGCTACACTCCTCCAGCAGCTGGTGCGAAGCATTGCTCCTGTTGAAATTGTAAGGATCCTCTTAACTAAGCTAATACTATCAATAAGACCTAATTACCACATGTTGTATTGTTAAAGCCAAGTTGTCTTAGTATTTATTTTTATTATTTCAGAAAATTTTCAAGAATGAACGTGAAGTTAGGTTTGCCTGCCAAACCTGTTTCTGTTTATCCATTTTCCCTCTCATTATCTTCTTTTTACATTTTTATAGCTTGCAGTTTAGTAAACAGTATTTCCCTATATCAGAACATAGATGTTTATAGTAGAAACTTACATTCTAAATACCTCTATGAAACCCCTAAGGTGGGTACCTATTCACTATGTAACACAGATACACACATATACACTTGTAGCTCTATGAACTACCAGTACAGAGTCTCACACTGGAAGAATGTATGGATTAATTGTCTAGGGTGATGGTGTCCAGGCAGTGGGTATCTAGCTGGATGAACCATGGGAAGGCCCATCATGGTCTCTGACAGCAATCTCAAAGTATGTTCCAGCTTCTTATAGTCCATCTAAATGCCTCTGATTAGAAATTTTTCATACTTAGGGGCCGGCCCGGTGGCACACTGCTACAGTGCGCCGCTTGGGAGCGCGGCGGCGCTCCCGCCGAGGGTTCAGATCCCACATACAGACCGGTTCCTGCTCGCTGGCTGAGCGAGGTGCGGGCGCGACACTGAGGGTTGCGATTCCGTTGCCAGTCCCGGTCCGGTACAGGCACGACACTGAGGGTTGCGATCCGTTGCCGGACACGAAAAAAGACAAAAAGGAAAAAAAAAAAAAAGAAATTTTTCATACTTAAAAAACCTATTTATACTTCGCAGCTATGAGGCTATGAGAAGTGAATTTTGTTAACTTTATTATCTATTCTTTAAATTACTTATTCCTTTTGTCATGTATTTATTTAAGTAGTATTTCGTAAGATACTCCCTGCATTCCCTATTGTGAATAGGTTTCTGTTCACCTTATCAATACCCATTCATGCTTGTTTTGGGGTTGGCTGATGGGTATGGGGATCCAAACCCTTGACCTTGATATTATAACACTGCACTCTAACCAACTGAGCTAACCAGCCAGTTCCATACACACTTTTATACACTTCGTTCAAATCTCTTCTCAGCCTTTGTCTGTGAGGCAAGAAATCGATCCTCAGCCCATCCATGGCTTTCTCCTTCTCTCTGGCAATTTCGGTTCCCTTCTCTGTGCCTTCTCTAAGCTGTTGTATCATTCTCAGTGTGGAAAATCAGGGCTAAAAATGGGTTCCAGGTGCTCCTTTATACATTAAGACTGCCTACTGTGAACAATGAAATAAACAAGAAAGAACTGAGTGGAAAAGATGATCTCATAAAGTCCATGCACTAATGAATTTATGAGAGCTCCCCATAGTTCCACTTAGAGACTTTTTACTCTTACTTTGTAATAGACTTGGCTATTTATAAGCTTTTATAAGGTTAAAGTTAGCAAGTTATGAGAATTTTTTATCAGTTATGAATGTGTTTTGGTTGCACATATCAAACTCCAAACAATCATGAATTAAATAGGTAAGTGTTTATGTATTTACATATACTCAAATGTCCAAAGGTAGGCAGACCAGGTATGGCACAGTGGCTCAAAATTGGGGACCCAAGCACTTTCTCATCTTTCTACCCAACATTGCTTAGCCATGCAGGTTCTCATACTCATGTTTGTGAGCTCATGGTTGCCAGGCATTTAATGCTCTTCCTCCAGGCTCACATTCCTGTGCCAGGAAGGCAGGAAGAACAAATAGGGTGTATATCTGGAAAACATGAGCTCTCCCATAAATCCTCTGCCTGCATCACATGACCATTCTTGACTGTGCAGGAGTCTGGGGAGATGAATATTTTTGACTTGTCCAAACACTGCTGCTCTGAATGAAATTATGCTGAGGTTTGTGAGGAAGTTGGGGGAATTGATATCAGAGAAGCAACTAGCAGTGCCTGCTAGGGGGTGTTTCCTGCACTAACTAGTGGTAGGTGACATTCTGCCTTCATGGGATAAAACAGAAAAACTAAAAATAGCAGCCAAGAGTACTTTTAAAAAGTCAAGGCAGGTCAGGGTAGAGATCAACAATTCATCTTAGCCCCATATGAATGGATGATGTAATTAGAATTTGTAGAGTATAATGATTTATGTTTATCCTAGTGGTCAGAGTCATCAAGAAAAGGTTTATAATAAAGTTAAGATAGTATTTTATTGCATTTTAGAAAGATTTCTCTTTTAAAAATTTTTGTTCCTTAAGAGTTATATTCTACTCTCTGGGAAACTTTATTTTGAATGCTTGTGGTTATGTGTGTCCCAGATCTTGGGACACACATGCCACTGTTTACTGCCTAATGGATTTCATTATACTGCAAGTTCATAAGCCTCTGAAGTAATGCTAACCTTTTCCTGTAACACAATGAATGGTTCTCTGGGCTGGCCGCCTGAGAAGTATCCATGTTGCTTTCTTTTTTTTTTTTTTTTTTCCTTTTTGTCTTTTTTCATGTCCGGCAACGGATCAGAACCCTCAGTGTCGGGCCCGTACCAGACCGGGCCCGCCAAAGG